GCTGCCAGCGTTTGGGAGACAAGATGGCCGCCATCCATTGTTTCAGCCATGTGTGTTCGCATGTACGAAATGGCGGCAACCCAGTGGAGCATTCTATTAATGATTTCCTTCGCGATTTTCGTACAGATACATAACGTTCCAATTGGATTACAGGATGGTCTTGGTTCGGGAACCGAATAAAATAACCTAAATGAATATAGACACAAACAAAATAAATGAAAGGAGACGAAAGTGATGGGAATATTCCTTCATACACGCTGTATTCTGCCCGGCAGCCTAGTCTCTGCCTTCCCCCGCGGTTTGATTTTGTGGATGTGGCTCACTCTCTGGTCTCTAAGCTGTGGGATCGAACATTCCCCCCGGGATAAATCAAACCTGGGATCAAGGGGCATGTTTAAGTCACCATCTACAATTAAGAGTCCCTCCCGAAATCTGTTCAGAAGTGAGTGTTTTCATTAGAAAGACGTGTTGGTTTCAGTTGGGGCTTTAGATGCAAGCAAATGTGTAAGTGTGATCAGCTATAATCCCTTTGAGGATGAGGTATCTGCCCGGGGGTCCGTTAGTTGACCTAGGCATGTGAAAGGGAGCATGCATGAAAAAATAATTGCAACCCCTGCCTTCTTATCATCTGTGTGGTTGGCGTAGTAGCCTGTAGTGAAGCGTCCATTCTTCAGGGTGGGGGCACTAGCGCCCTTGAGGTGGGTTTCCTGGAGAGTTCAAAGTATTTGGGTGCGCTTCTCAGGAATGTTTACTCCCTGCACGTTATTAGACCAAAGTCTCAATGGTGTTGAGCTATAATTCGACCTCATTGTGGGTTATCGCCTGGGGGGGGAGGCAAAGAGAGGGGGTGGAGGAGGGGAGGCAAAGAGAGAGGAGGGTGCAGGGAAGGGGTAAGTGGATGGTCAGGGGAATAGTGTATCAACAGGTAACTATGACTCGTCTCGGGTCTAGTCGTTCAGTGGTGTCGGACCCTTGGGCCCCCTATCACCTATATGAACCCTGTGTATATATACAGTGTGATTCTGTCACATGGGGTCGAGGGAAAGTCAGGATTATAGAGTGTGTATCAATGGTCGTGTTCAGCTCCGGGGACTCCCAGCCCACCGTCCAGAACTGTACGGAGTATTCGTGCCAGTATAGGTAGATGAGGTGGGGTTTTGTGACTTTGTCATGGCCACCACTATGGAGTGGCCCCCAGTGTGTCAACTGGGGCCCTGCAGTCAGTCTGGCATACATCTCAATCCTTGCAAATCCAGAGCACCCCCAGGTCCCCTTGTCCCACTACCTTCCAAGTCCAGTCACACGCGAGCGTCATTCGCGTCCCTGCCCTCGTCCGTATGAGTGTCTCCGGTCACCAGCATGCTGGCAAACATGTAACATATAAGACTGAGTAGTAGCCTGAGGGTGGGCAGTCCCGGGACAGGTTGGCCTGAGTAAGTCCCCCCCCCTTTTGGTCCCACCACCACCCAACAGGAGAGGTGCCCCAGGGACAAAAGGCCTGAGTCTAAGCGAACCCCCCAGGGGCAGGATCATGGGCCCAAGCCCAGTGTGCATACCCCTCCAGGTGGCAGTCAGCCTTAGAGCATATAGGCCTCCGGCTCAACGGTGTCTGGCAGGGTGTCTCAGGTGAGGGGTCCCCTCCGGGGTCGGCTTCATATCTCACAGTGCTGGGTTTCTAGTGGTAGCAGGCCAGGATGTTCCTGTGCAAGTGGTGAGTGTCTATTCCTCAGGACCATCAGGGCCACCCCTCCAGAATCCCGATCCAGTAAGGTCAGTACCAGCCCACTCTCAGATGGTCCTGGCCGGGGCCCCAGGTCGTGGTGGTAGATTTTCCAGGAACCAATTAGGCACAGCAACCACGGGAATGCAGGTGGCATGCAGAAAGCGAATAGCATGCCAGGAGTTGTCAATTCTGGCCTGAAGGCTAGAAGGGAACTCACACTTGTAGGGTATCCGCTTGTCCTGTAAGAGTCTGGTTAAGGTCGTAAGGCTCCAGGGCCAGATTAAGAGCCCAGTGGGCCTGGTGCTAACAATTATGATGGGCCTAATTATTATCGACCAAAAACACTAAAACAGTCATACCTCCCAAGCGTCATGTATCTGATAGAAATGGTGTTGGAGGGAAACTCAAAGGATGCAGCTATAAGAAAAAACACATACTCTATGCTAATCGCTCTCTAATTTATGCTTTCGACTTTGAAGTAATCCATACCCCCTAACAGCAGCGTCCAGTGAAGCAGGAAGTCAATGGGTGGGTAAAAGGGTGGGCCACTGACACAAATCACGTGACCAGAACTGCCAAAAGGAGCGAACATGCCAAAAAAGGGGGCATGTCTGTCCAAAGAATTGGAAGGCCAGTCTGGCATCAGTGTCCCTATGTATCAAAGTGTCAGTGTCCCCATGTCGTCCAGTCCCCTAGTCTCCCAGGGTCTCAGTGTCCTCATTTTTCTCCATGCCCCCATGTCTCAGTGTTTCCCGTGTCACTAGGATACTAGGGGGCACAAAGACATGTTGACACAGTGAGACACCAGGGGACACTGACACTTGGGGACACTGGGAGACATGGGGACACTGGGAGACATGGGGCACTAGTGGATACAGACATGGGGACACTGGGAGACATGGGGACACATACACTAGCGACACAGAGACATGGGGACACAGACACTGGGAGACATAGGGACACTGAGACACTAGGGACACTGGCTGGGAGGCATGGGGACACTGAGACACTTGGGGATACTGAGACATGGGGAACTTGTGGACATAGACATGGGGACACTGGGAGACATGGGGACACTAAAATAAATTGGTTACACTGAGACACTAGGGACACTGGCTGGGAGACAGAGGGATACTGGGAGACATGGGAACACTGAAAAACTTTAGGATACTTGGAGACAGGGGGCACTAGTGGATACAGACATGGGGACACTGGGAGACATGGGGACACAGACACTAGGAACACAGAGACATGGGGACACAAACACTGGGAGACTAGAGGCCATTGGAAGACATGGGGACACCGAGACACTAGGGACACTGGCTAGGAGGCATGGGGACACTGAGACACTTGGGGATACTGAGACATGGGGGAACTTGTGGACATAGACATGGGGACACTGAAAAAATTCGGGACACTGAGACACTAGGGACACTGGGAGACATGGGGACACAGACACTGGAAGACTAGGGGACACTGGGAGCCATGGGGACACTGAGACACTAGGGACATTGGCTGGGAGACATGGGGACACTGAAAAACTTTGGGACACTGTAGCGGAGTGCTGGTATTATACAGCCAATCTCCACTTTGGATCCCAGTGAGGCTCAGGAACAAGCATTTATAAATCCATAGGGCAAAGTATCCAGCAGGCAAAATAACACAGCAGTATCCCAACAGCACTCCCAATAACTGGACGACACACAGTATCAGGAGCAGAACTAAAAATGTATTCAGACAGTGGCCTTATAAAGCATGCTCCCATGCAAGGGAGGGTTTTACAGTCATTAGTACAGTAGCCAATCCTGTTCTGGTAACCTCCCACACATCTCCTCCCCTCAGCCTGCATCATAATCCCCTTATCCAGGACACCAATTGACCCCGTTTCTGGATGTACCCCTAAACCTAGGGGTACCGCTTTAAATCATACATCCCCTGGTAGTCCTGATCTGGGTGAACAACATATCCAAAAATCACCCAGATCAGACCAGGGGTTCGGGAAATTTATGGAGGGAACAAAATGACCGACCGCACTGGAAAGAATAGCCAAATTGGGCTCCATGCAATGGGGCCCTGCGCTCGGTCCTGGAACCAGGGAATAAATTACACAAAAGCCTCCAGTTACAGAGACTAGGGAGGGTTCGCCTGAATCCCCTCGTTCGATTGTTTCTGTCTACCGAACGAGGGGCCGTTCGGTAGTTTGGAACCGAACGGACCGGGCTTGTGGAGGTCTCAGCGATGTTCGCCTAGTCGAGTGTCCGATTTGAGTTCCAGACACTCGACGGCAAAACACCGCTGTTCGGGAGTTTTAAAATGGCCGCCGCCACGTGTTCGTTTCCCAAATGGCGGCCACCCCCGAGAACAAAGGACTACTGCACAGCTTGTCAATTACCCGTTCGCAACAATGTTGCAACGGGTAATTGAAGGCACACTTCACACCGGGGAGGTCTGACTGATCGGTAGTTTCATTCCCTTATTTGTCTACCAAACAATCAGACGAATACAACACATTTATACACACATAACTTATCAATTAGACGAATGCAGTTAAAATCAATGCAATTCTCAGGACAGCCCAGGGCCATCCGCTACAGACACTGGGAGACATAGGGACACTGAGACACTAGGGACACTTGCTAGGAGATATAGGGACACTGGGAGACATGGGGACACTGAGACACTAGGGACACTGACTGGAAGACATGTGGACACTGGGAGACAGATATTTGGACACACTGGGAGACATGGGGACAGTGAGACACTAGGGACACTGAGAGACATGGGGACACAGACTCTGTGAGACTAGGGGACAATGGGAGCCATGGTGACACTGAGACACTAGGGACATTGGCTGGGAGACATGGGGACACTGTGAGACATGGAGACACTGTGTCCCTAGTGTCCCAATGTGTCTCCCAATGCCCCTATGTCTCACAGCATCTCCTAGTGTCTCAGTGTCCCCTAGTGTCTCAGTATCCCTATGTATTCTGAGCTGTAGTCTGTCTCTGCAGGCTGGGAGCTGCTGTCTGAACTCTTTGTGCTGTGTAGCTGCTCCCCAGTGGATCAGTGAGTAGAGAGAGGCAGGGAGGGATATGCTGTAACTTCCTATCCCTGCCTCTCTCCACACACACAGTGACCCCTGCTGGCTGGTGCCAGAAAAATATCTGCATTTTCATTTCTGGTATTACTGCATTACTGGAACGGCCAGGCAGCCTCAAATACCGGCTGTGCTGGTAAAATACCAGTCAGGTGGCAAACCTAAGAGTAATTCTTCTACCTTGCGCTCCAGGTCAGTAAGATCTCTCCGCACCTCCATGACTTCCTCGCGTATCGCCGTTCTTATTTCAGCCAGCATCTCCGCTTTGTCTGTTCGGGAGAGCATGTTAGCGGATATCGCAGCTAGGGCCGACGAAATTTGTCTGAGGGTCTCCCCCCTATGTGAGCCTTGCGCGGAGCTGGCAATTCTTTCTGCGCCCGGGGATGCCGGCACCATTTTGTCCAGGAACCAGGCAGATCGTGTGTCCTGAGGGGTGGACAGGAATTCGTCCATGGGGCCTGAAGTGTGGCCCATTGAACCTGCCTAGGAGGGACCAGGGGTGAGTAGTCTTTTAGGTTCCCCCATTTTCTGCTAGTTCTGTGCACTATAATCAGTGCTTTTGTGAACTGGGGCCTTGGAGCTACAGAGAGATGCGTCTTTTATGTAAGCACAGGCTTCCCAAACTCCGTCCCTGCAGGTGTTGCTGAACTACAACTCCCATGATTCTCAGCCTATCTATTTAATTCATAGAATCATGGGAGTTGTAGTTCAGCAACATCTGGAGGGCTGGAGTTTGGGGAAGTCTGTGTAAGCAGAACCTCTGTAGTCAGAGCAGATTCATACAGGAATCAATTAAAGGTCAGTCTGATTGCGTATTGGATGAAATGTTCCAGAATCACAAAGAGCACCTACATGCATGCTTTAACATGTGCTCACACTGCCCAATCCTTTGTTATTCCTAGGAGTGAAACACCAGGGAACAAATCCTGGACAGAGTGACAGGCGCTTAAAATCAGGACTCTTTGACCTCTGCAACGAGCGGCCGCACTAAACTGAAGCTCCGGGAACTTAACTACGAAAACCTCGGTTTACACGACTAATCTGCCCCGACACACTGACTGGGAGACCACTCTAGTTGTCCTGAGCCATGTGGGTTGTAAAACGAAGAAATCGAAGCCGGACAAACCCACGTACGGGCTGACTATAGGGGACAAGCTCATGGCACTCTCGGGCCCAATATGGCGACGATGTCAGGCGGATGCTCTGACTTCTCCGAGGAGCACTCAGAGGACGCAGATGAAGAATTCATACTCACCCTCGCACCAGCACTAAAGGCCCAAACAGAGTCGGACAACTCTCCGGTGACGACGGTGGTTCTGAAGGCCCTCCTGGCGGACCTGCAGAAAAATATCCTGGCTGATGTCACCGCAATCCGCAGCGACCTGGGAGGCCTAACAGGCTGCATGGCAGCACTGAAAAGTACCTCCCAATCCAGCACACAGCAAATAACGTCACTCCAGTGTGAGGTACAAGAATTGAAGCAACAAGCTCAAATGTACAACCGTCGCTTTGCGGCTCAGGAAGACACCCGGCAGAGACTAAACCTCTAAATCAGGGGTTTCTCAATGGTCCCAGAGGCAGAATTACCGCACTGCCTGAGACGCCTGTTCACATAGCTCTACTAACTCCCAGACAGGCCAAGACCATAAACCTGGATGGAATCTTTCGAGTCCCCAGGCCTGCCAAGGCACCGGCAGAAGTCTCCAGAGACCTAATCATCACCTTCCAAACAGAAGAGATAAAACTACAGTCCTCACAGCCCCGAAGGAGAACACACCCTTTCAATTTGAGAGCATGTCCCTATCGTTCTATGCCGACGTTTCAAGCAGCACCCTGGCCTGGCGAAGATCATTGAAGCCGCTCACCGCCCTGCTCCAGCAGCATGGAATTCGATATCGCTGGCGCCAGGCTCGAACGCTAACCATATAGAAGGGGAACAACTCGTACACCATTCACGACCTACAGGGCTCGGCGGCACTGCTGAAAGACATGGGCTCACTAACCAGGCAGGAGAATCAACCAGCACCACAAGCGACCCGCAACTGGGACCCGGCGAGGAGCACTCCGTTTGTCCCACGACGGAAGACACGGGACTCATACGCTGCTGTCACCACATGATTCAGGACTCATGCAGCCCAAAGGGCACTGTTTCCTTAGTTTGCAATGTTTCCATGTTTACTAGCTTAATATAAGCCGCTGCACACTGTTGACTCACAAGTCGCAACATCACTGACCTCTACCGGCCCACGTAGGCTTAGGCATCCCCCCGACGACCGAGGTGATGACTGATTGCCCCAAACACACCACCTCCCTAGACCCACCTACGCCCATCAGCGTCGCAACCTGGCGGCAACATTAGGGCTAAAAGCTCCCTGACTGCCTACCTGGCAGAGCAGCACACGACGAACCACCCACCTCTTACAGGTGGAGCTCCCCATACAAAGGACGTAGACAGCCTGACTCACCTCTTTAAGAGATCAGGACACAGAAGCTGACCCCCAGCCCACAAACGACCCCTACCCAGGTACCACCTTATGGCCGAAGCTGTACAGATCCCATTTACCCCACCGACAGTATATCACCCACGACCAGACACACTACTGACACGCTCGACACTCTCACTAAACATACACCCGGCTAACATGCCCACACGGACCCACGGTGGCACTAGCTATAGACCCCAAAGTGTATAATCTTATTACCCCACACGTTTCGTCTCATTATTATAAAAATGTGCTATAACCCAAAGCCATCCTATGCAATTACCATGTTGTTTTTTTAATATGCTTGACCAAGCTGTTGTGGCTGAACAAGCTCAAATGTAACACTATGCACGGTGAAAAATAAAAATTTCAACAAAAATCAGGACTCTTTCACCAGATTTAGGACTGTTGGCAACTATGGCTCTAAAAATACATTACAGAAAAAGATGTAAAACTAAAAAAACAAATAAAAACAGCTAACATTAAACCTTTCTGCAGATGAGCAGAAACTCACAGAATTCCAAGCCCTGATCCACACTCCTTCTCTAACCAGACAGAAACTGGGAATTCACAGCCGATCCTGTTCTTTCCATTTTCTCTATGGGGAATAACTTGCAGTGGTTTGACATATTTCCCATGACCCATATATGTGCTGATAGTATAAAAACAAGTCCTTGTACGTAATATATTTATAGAATTATGAATATAATTAGAAAATAAATCTAATTCACTCATGCCCAATTATACCGCAGATGGAGCCATTAAAAATACATTTCACTTAGAAAAGAACCACATAACACCCCATCCTGACCACTAATATTATGGGCCTGATCATCCGCTGTTACCTGCTTTCTAACATCACCCTGGAGCTACACTTCTAGAGAAGACATTGATGGGACAGGAACCAATTAATTTCTTGAAAGCCTCCTCGAAATTGCCGTGACATGCTTTCTTCTGTTTAACCTATTAGCAGTAACCTCTAGGGACCCCATTAACCTCAAATCTTTCGAGACGTCTTCTGACAGCATTTATGGAACCTGTCACAACAGCATCCAGCGCTCAAAGAATCGCACTTTAATTTGGTGGTCTGCTAATGATACTATTCCAGCTGAATCTCCCAGCTTTGCACACGTAGAGTGCAGTCTGACTGCTGGACTGAATGTCAGATTTGGAGAAGGAGAGTTTAGGACTCGGTTATATCTAAAATGAATTTAATTCCATGGTCGAAAAATTTCAGTGCGTCGTAGCTTGACTTGAGTGAACACTTGACCTGTATTAAATTGTGACGCATTGACTGGGATGTTAGCCAAAAGAGATTTGCCTTTTTTCTAATGTTAAGTCATTTTTGTGTTATTTTTCACACACATTCTACTTTAGGCATGGATTCTCAGCTCCCATTAGGTTACTGCCAAAGAACACCCCAATATGTGTTCAGCAACATCTCCTGAGTACAGTGATACCACCCATGTATAGGTGTGTTGGGTTCTCTGGGGGCTAAAATACCTTATTTGTAGGGTGCGCATTCAAGTTTTCCAACTTGGAATTTTCCCTAGCTGGTCATCATGCACTCATTCCCTATTTGGGAAATTTTGAAGCTGGCCAATATAATTTACCCCCATCAAACCATATATTTATGAAACGTAGACACCCTAGGGTATTTCAAATGGTGGTATTTTAACACTTTCCATGCACCAATTCTACCACCATTCTCTGTCAAACATTTGGGTAGTAATTTTTGTGTTATTTTTCACACACACATTCTACTTTAGGCACAGATTCTCAGCTCCTGTTAGGTGTTACTGCCAAAGAACGCCCCAATATGTGTTCAGCAACTTCTCCTGAGTACAGTGATACCACCCATGTATAGGTTTGTTGGGTTGTTTGGGGGGGTGCAATGCCAAATATCTGACATGTGTTTTTCAAATTTTACATATCTTCTTTGCCTATCTTCTTTTTGGGGGCCTTTTTAGATATCCCAATTTATTTTCGTGGCATGAGCGTGCATGTATTTGAAAAGTTGACACTTTATATGTGTTTTGATGCCTTTGATGCAATCGTTTTAATCATCAAATTGGAGAAAGTGTGTGGTGGTAATTTTTCATTTTTTACACACATTGCTTTTTGACTGTGATTTAGGGGAGCCTGTTGTTGATTATTGCAAGAAAGCACTCCATGTTGTTTTCTGCAAGGCCTCCTGAGTACACCCGGGGCATGGATAGGGTAAATGTAACCAAAAAAAAAACTGAACGGCAAATGTAAAAAAATTAAATAAAAAATGGATCAGTGTGTGGTATCATTTGAAGCAGTCCCCAATGCAGAGTCCAGGCTGTCCAGGGCAATCAGGACAGTGATATACAGTATCTTTTCTCTGCCCACTCTTAAAACAGACTCTGCATCTTTTTTGGAGGATTCTGCTTTGCCGCAGTAGGGGAAATTTTAAAAATAAAATGTGTAGCCCCAACTCTGCTCACTCCCATCACCGCCCGGGGAGCAGGTGCATCACGGTACAAAATCCCTAAAATGATCGGGAGCTGAAACTGTAAAAAATTCAGTTGCATTCCGGGGTTTTTGTTTTTACACAACAAAAAAGCGTTGTGTGTTGCAATCTGCATTGAGTAAATTGCAAGCTTTTTATACCAGGCCCTGGTCTTCCGGGCTGCAGCAGCTGATCTGCCAGATTAACCCCACCCATATGCCGGTTATAGGCCTTGAAGCACACTGGCTTCCTTGTGCTCTCAGCTCTGCCACGTACAGAGACCTCCACAGTCCACTCGGTGTGGATGGTGGTAAGAAGGTTCACATCCTTCTTGTCTCTGTACTTAACTGCCAATCGCTCCTCTTGGCGCATAACTGAGGTCTTCCCCCCTTCGTAGCCAGGTGCGTGCAAGTTGTCCTGGGAAACCTGTGCTGTTCTTTTTAATTGTACCGCAAGCTACTGTATCAAAACAATACAGTAGCTTGAACAAAGGG